TCATTAAAAAGAAAGGATAGTTCAATAAATACATAGTGAGTACAAACAAATTTGTTCTTTGGATAAGCAAAATTTCAAAAATTTCTTTCGGAGGCAGCCGTCCTTCGATAAATTTATGCACGCAAGGAACAGATCAATGTTTTCAGATCGTTACTCTTATCACCCTTTCTTTGAACTCTTATCCTCTTATCTACGGATAAGGAAGCTACATTTGCTTTGCGGCGAACCTCTATTAGGCAATATATGAAATTAATGTAAAGTGTTTAAAAGAAGTGAGTGTAGTGTGTATTATGCTTTCCTATGACAATCATCTTTGGACACATTTTTTTGTTTGGTCCGTGTGTGTGTTGATATTAAATTTCTAAATCTTTCCCGCTATACATTCGTGGTTAGACGATTGCGGAGGAAAATGTGTATTGTCAAAATCGACGGTCGCTAAGCAATTATAGAAGTGCATACAAGGATGTAATTTCTTCTCTAAATTTCGAACCTGAAAGTTCCCAAGCAATTAACAAATAGACAAAAAAATGGCAAACTTGATTAAAATTTTCTATTGCTGATCAACAGATATATACTTTTAAGCTTCTTGACGATCGCTTGCTTGCTTTGTTTATTCCCGGAAACTTTCATATAACTTATCCAAGCTCATTCTTCGAGTCTTGCAATCTTTATTTCAGGTTTTATTTCTTCTCCTATCATGCACTCTTTAATGCGGCGTTTTTATCGCTAACGATAACAAACAACTGGAATTAAGTTTTCTTAGTCTTCGTTATGGGCAGTAATCGTTCTCTAAACCAGCGTGAAACAAAAGTACTTGGAAAACTTTAAAGACGAAAGACGAAGAGAAAAGTATTTCGGAATTTCACGAAGATGACACACATTATTGAGCTTAGGAGTTAGAAACAAATTGCTAATTAAAAGCACTGGACGTTAATGTAAAGAAAAGCAAAGTGCGCTCTAAAATAGTATAATATTTAGTGCTATTTCTATACGAAGCATATAACGAAAAGCTGTATTCAAATGTTTAATCAGTCAACCATACCGCGTAACATTGTTATATGCAAGTGCGCATATTATGCGATTCTTTTCGAATGTATCTCCAAAACAGAGTTTTTTTTCATAAGCAAAAGAAAAAAAACATGTAGCGCCAAAAAATTATTTCCCCCTTTATCCCAAACGAACGGTTGCAACCCTGAAAAGTATGAACTAAGATTTTTGCTCGTTATAAAATTTCACATACACTCACGTACACGAAACTAAAACACAATATATTCACAAGCATACGTATATATTTACAATTATTGCTCAGAATGACACGATGACGTTAATGTATTTCGTTATTTGGTTTTGCCGTATAATTTTGTATTCATTATTTATTATATTATTTGTATGCTAAATACACACGTACGTACGTACGTACGTACATACATGTATATATTTATAAGTCTAAAGTTTCTTGCTTTCGTTCAAATTAGAGTTTTTTCAGTTTTTACATTTTCATTCTAATTTGCACTTTATATCAATTTTGGTATGCCTATGTGTAAGTGAGGTTTACAGCGAACACTTTATATCTTCAAATATATGTAAGCGGAATAAGTTTTTTTTATCTATGCTTTAATTTTCTGAGCTTTAACTAAATTCATTCTCATGGTATATTTGGAAATATTAGCCAACTTTATCCTAATAACATTTGTTTTTTAAAATACAGATTAGACATTTAGACTGAACTAATTTCAAATCGAATTTACTAATCGTAATCGTATAATACATATATATCTCTATATACATTTATTATTAACTACGTCATTTATGGAAATTGTTTTTACTTTTTGTGCTTTGTTCTTATTTGAAAATACTAAACGTACATCACCATTACCACAGACGGTTGCACTAAAATTTCTATATAAGCGTGTAAATGTCGGTTTTAAACAAGCAAATGTATAAAAAGACAAAAAAAGAAAAAACAACTAAAGAAAATGAAATCCCTTTTTTTTGTATATTTAATATCACCCTAGCGAGGTGAGACGCGATTAAGGTGCGTAGACGTTCAAAATCAACTACTAAAGTCAATGAGAAATTGTTTTTTACAAGGCACTCACAAAAAGCGAGCAATGTTAATAGCGAGACGATGAGAGATCCGAACGTACATAAATACTTACACATAAAGAGGAAGAGAAAGAGAGAGAGAGGTGTTCGCAATAAAGCTAACACAATGAATATTACGATAGTGTTTGTTCTTCTTCTGCAGAATTGTGTAGTTGTAGCGGAGTAAACACTCACTGCCGTACTTAACATATTTTATTTATGTATATATTATTCCTTCATTTCTTTTGGGAAGGATAGCTCCAAACAGAAATTATTGCTGTTGTTGCATTTATATTAAATGTAATGATTGCCCGGAATTTGTTTTTTATTATAACGCAACACCGCAAAGATATATTAATTCTGAATTCTTAAGTCTTCGTGTAGGGGATACCGATTTATGTATCCACTTTTTCTGCAAAGTCTCGCTTTAGTAATAAAGAATTCAGGTTAACGCGAGCCCTTAGCACAGAAAGTGCTTTACAAAATGTTCGCACAACAAAAAACACTGATAAACCAGCGAAAGAAGCAGCTTGTTGCAAAAGGTAAGTATAAAATTTTTTTCAATAAAGGCAACAGTTAAGGAGTAATTTTGCCGGCCAGACTCGAGCGCGGTAGATGTAATACGGGTCTAAGTAAAAATGAATGTAGATTTCATGAGCCGAAAATGCGTTGTTGTATAGGATATAGATATATATAGATATATATATAAATGTATCTATATGTATAACTAAGACAGTAATTTATTAATCTCCTCTCTTTTGCAATTAGAAGAAAAATAATATTCAAACTATATCCGGCTCGAGGAAGTGCCGCAAGCAGTTTTTTCGGGGTCGTAGAACGGAGCCTCTGGATATTATGCTATCCCAATAAGCCAAGATCGGGAACGAGTGATCCCAGATTCAAGCTTGAACCGCAAGAGCCCTCACTGAACCCGGAATTTCAACGAGTCTAAAGGGCTGTATGGCGCGGATCATATTGCTAACATGTTCAGTGTGTGGGAATGGTGACCCACAACAGCAGGGGCTGATCGTCGAAGGTCAAGCCATTTGATATTAATCTCTTATAATTTCTATTAAATTGTATTTGTATTTGTCCAGAGATTATAAAATATGATTGCAATCAAAATTCAACAAGGTACAATGCACGAGCAAGAGAATGCTTCTGATTCTGTACACCTACATTAACACTAACAAGAACGAGGAGTAGAGAACAGAGGAAGAGTACATGTGTCACTTTTGCATGATATTAGTGCTTATCTAGCTGACAAAATAGTTCCCTTTTTATTAGCGGACATTACCAAGCGCTTATAAAACAGCATATATAGCATAGCGTAGTGGATGTAATGTTGTATATATATAATAATATAACAAGAACCTAAGTTAAAACTTGACCAGTGAAAGATGTAAAAGAACGTTATTGTTAGTATTATACAGCGACTCGTTTTTTCAAAAACTTTCAAAACTTTTGTCATTAGGCTTCCTTCCCCTTATATTCTTGCAAAAAGCGGGAGAGAATCCAGAAGAAATTGAGAATAAAGTGAAAAGTCAACGCATGCTCAAATTATACAATACAAGAAAATTTACAATACATTTGTTTAACATATGGTTTCATAATTTTTATATAAAACATTTAAATAATAAAGCAAATATTTTAAATTAATGGTTTACGAAAACAAAAGCATCTTACTTACGGACTAAATCTTTTCGATATACCAAATTATATGTAAATATAAAAGTAGTTTGAAAGTTCGCTTTTGATACCCTTTCTACTTTATTTTTTATGCATTTCAAATTTCAATTAGAATGCAGACACTCCTTACACTTCACCACTTATCATTGGTCTCGTTTATGCCTATGAGTTTGCATTATAGATATTTATTCTTTTATTCTCTTCTCATTCTAGTTTACACATCAACGCACACGCTTATAAGAACTAATCGGCCAGAAAATGAGTAAGAGGAGATCGGGAAAAAATATATATAAGAAAATTTTTTTAATGGCCGACAGATATCACCTCAACAAAATTGATATTTCACCTTTTCACTTAAATTTATTGCAACAAATTAAAACTCCTTATTGGCTTTATGTTTATATGGGCGCACGTAACATATTCTACAAATCAAGAATTTTCGATATTTTCAGAGCAAGCCATTAATCCGATAAGAATTTTCTTTAATATTTAAAAAGGATTAGAATTCAAACGAGAAAAAGATTACATTTACGAAAAAATCTGTTTCATTAATATTATTTTAAACAACACTCTTGATTTTTATATATATTTTTTTTAATTTCTTTTAATAAAAATCTCCAAGCCAGTGAATAAAAAGGCGAAACGAATAATATTTGCTGAAAATCTTGTTCTCTACATACTGTTAAGGAATTTCATAATTCCTCTCTCAAATTTTCAATAGTGATGCCATAATGAAAGTTTTGTAACAGTATTTACGCAGAAAACAAAAAACGAAAAAGTGTGTTATTAAAAGCACTAAAATACAATTGATAACAATAAGGACGACATTTCGAAATCTTTCAGTGCAATAATATCTTAGTAGAGAAAATATATTCGCAAGGAGTGCACATTAATGAAGCGAATGAATGAATTTGTAATAGTGAAAATTTCATTTCGATTGCTAATATTTTAATTCCTACTTTTTCTTAAATACGATTGTTATTATACACTTAATTGCGTACGAATAGCGTTCTGTACCGAATCTTCAACATTCAGTGTTGCCCTGTATGCAATGATTATTGGTGTATAAGAGACCACAATATTGGTAATACTGTGTCGAAAAATCATGATGTTTACAAACACGCCGGAGTTTTAATATACAAAGACGTAATAAGTGATATTTGTTAAAATTATTAATTAAAATTATAGAAGAAATACTGAAAAAGTAACCAAAAATATTCCAAACGTTGTTAATAAATAATAGCTATTGTGAATGTTTGAAAATTATAGCTACTAAATAGTGAAAATTTCAACCATATTTAAGCTGTAAAATTATTTTTTAAGGACTCTGCTTTACGATTAATGCAAATAGGCATTATTTAATACATACATACTTGCAAAGGAAAATTAAAGTTATTGTTGTTTTTGTTCAATGCATATGTATCTTAGTACATACACATAGACATGAGAAAGTGAATCAGTTTCAAATCCAATTGCGTGAATTTATCAATTACTGAAGGAATGACATGTTGCTGCAAGGGCAAACGGTCGTTGCGTATGTCGGATGAAATACTAAACGTGCAAAGGTATCAATATGCGAAAAGTCATATAATGCAGCAAGGATATCTTATCATCAACATCAATTAAATCATTTTGCAAAAATTACCATAAAGGATATTAATACACTGTAAGCACTCAGTGTGCTTAGCATATTTTAGTTGCAACAATTGCTAAACGAGAACAAAGAAGGTTCTATACAATCATTGCATTCATTTGCAAGCGAACAAGGTGCAAAACAGGCAATACAAAAGTGGTTTGTCAACTTGTGGCGTCGTTAAGTGTTAGCCAAAAAAAAAAAAATAAATAAATAAATAAAACGTTGTATTTTCAACCATCCAGGGCATAAGCGTTAAAAAGCTGTGAACAGTTGCACTATTCCATCAATTGTGATTAGTACAAGGAAATCGGTTGCATTGCTTTCAACCGCATTTACGTTTAAGTTTATTAAATCTCTTGTTATTGTTAATGATTGCGGTATAAAGAGATATATATAAATAATATTGTTGTCAAAGTCATGGCCGCCATAACTCGCAGTGTCAGCGGCAGCCCTTCGTTTGCTTTAAATTCTGCGGTTGACCCCAGTTTATTTCCTCTAAAATCAATCAATGATGTTGTGAACTTTTTTAAACGTTCTCTAGAGCAATACCATACGCATGGTATTGAACCAGATTTGACGTTGCTGTCAATTGTGGCGGGCTACATTGAATTATCGTTGACAACTGGAGATGCAGCTCATGCAGCAGCTACTTCTGCTGCCGAACATGCTTCTATGACTGCGGCAGCAGCAGCTTCATCATCCGGCCCAGCAGCTCTCGTAGCTGGTATTGTAAGCAGTGGTTTATCATCAACGGCAGGTGTGTATAATTTCTCTGTGCTTTTTTGTGCTTATGATTTATTCTCGTTTGCGTACTGAAAACTTAAAATGCAACCATGTGGAGTGTGTTTTTTCAATTTATAGTAGTTAACGTAAAGCACAGTGCAGTTAAAATGAAAAGGAAAAAAAGATTTGGATATCCCTGAAGACTTAATATCAGAATTTTGTTTATGCACTTACACTCCAATTTCAAATATGAAAAGAAGAGTATTTTATTGGTTAATTATTCTTGTTCGTTTGTTAGCAAACTTTTTTCCTTTATCAAATTAAATTTGTTACCAAATGCGTTAAAATTTTCCAAAAAGTAGGCAGGTCAAGAAGTTTATATTTTGCTCAATTTTAAACATTCATAAATGTAAGTTATTTTTGCAATTTTTTCCATGCGTTTTTAAAAATCGGTATCTCTTTGTTGTTGCACCGACGTTTGACACCATATAAACATATTCAAGAAAAAAAGAATAAGGATTGTTTAATTTCCTTTTTTAGGTAATTCTGATATAATTGTCGGCAATTCGGTACCGTTTCCTACCGTAACATATGAACTTGTTTCCGGTCTTTACAAGAAGTTCCAAAGTATTCTGTCTATTGTGGATAAACCTAAAATGTCGTCGATTTGCAACAATCGGCGGGCATCTCGTGAAGTTATCAAAAAAGTCTCCGATGTTATATGGCATTCGTTAATTCGTAGTAGTTATAAGGATCGCGCTCACCTACAAAATCTGTACAGTTATTTGTCTGGGAATAAATTGGATTGCTTTGGCGTTGCTTTAGCAGTCGTAGCCGGATGTCAAGTCCTGGGTTATCGCGACGTACGACTAGCTATATCGGAAGATCATGCGTGGGTAGTATTTGGTAATAAAAAAGTGGAAACAATTGAAGTTACTTGGCATGGCAAAGGTAGTGAGGACAAACGGGGACAAGACATAACAGCAGGAATTGAGTCAGGCTCGTGGCTCTATTTAGGCGGCTTGGCGGTTGTGTGCGATAAACCCATGGAGGTTGCAGCCATAGCATCTGCTATAAATATTTCTTTATCCGTCAATAGTGATTGTGTTGAAGTGGCTGAGCTACAGCAACGCTTATTGGGTTTGCTTTACGATATGGGTCATTTAAAAAAGTATCCAATGGCTTTAGGTAATGTAAAAACTGCTTATTTGCTATTTTAATAAAAAATAATAGTTTTATAATTGCAGGCACTTTGGGAGAGCTAGAGGAAGTTAATCCAACAATAAAACGCGTGTCTTGCGAGCATCTATACCGTGAGGCCATAGAATCGGCGCGATTACACTATCAGAATCATCATGTTTACCCCTATACCTATCAAGGTAAGTCTTGCATGTGTTAAGTAAATAAAAATTTAATAGAAACTATGAATACATGAATAATTTTGTTCTTCTGTTTCTTCACCACAAGGTAACTACTATAATCGTCTAAACAAATATAGAGAGGCTTTTGGCGCTTGGGCTAATGCTGCTGATGTTATACGTTTGTATACATATCAATGTCGTGATGACGAAGAGATCTACAAGGAATTGCTAGATATAGCGAATGAGATGATACCCTACGTAATGAAAACTGAAAGTTCTGGTCATTCAGCACGTAGCATTTTGCGTGATTCAGAAGTTTTTGCTAATCTTCTAAGATTTTATGATGGCATTTGTCAATGGGAAGAAGATAGTTTAACGCCAATTTTGCACATCGGCTGGGCCAAGCCCCTAGTTAATAACATATGTAAATTCGATTACGACATACGTTCCCAAGTTGTTATAAAAGTGCCGGAAGATGAACCGCTGGCGGTTCAACGAGGCATAAATGCATCAGAATATAATCAAAAAAGCGAAAGCAAAACTGTTGGAGACAATTCTGTGCAGCAGCAGTCCCTTGAAGGCAATAATAACAACTTGGTGAACAAAGAGGAGGTAAGAAGAATAAGGATTCTTTTGTTAATATTTTTCATTTTCTTCGATTTGTTCGGTTTTCTCTAATTTTTTGTTCACCATCTCAAATATTTAGTATTATCGTCAATTCGTACTTAAATTCTTTCTACTAAAGCGAATTTAATCACAGGTACTTATTATTGATCCTGAGTTGCAAGATTGACTTCGCCATTTTAGTAGTAGACACTAATGTTGAGATGCCCCCAGAACCAAATTCTTTCCCTACAAAACTATTCTTTCCCTATAAGACTGATTCTAAGATTACTTTGACAGAGATTAATTGTGCATGAAAGGCAACCACTTGCATTTGAATTTCGTAGCAAATTTAGTAGATTTTCCTTATACATATTTGTGGAAGCAAGCTTCTCTTCCAGATCGTTAAAGAACTAACAAATCAGCAATTTTTGTCATGACCTTTAACATCACCACAAAATGAAGCGGAAATACTGCTTTAATTGGTGTACAATATTTTATATCTACGCGAAGCAAAGATCTACTCTTTCGATACTTCGATGGTATATGGAATCATACAGAATATATATGTCGTACATATTTTCAAACTACACTTTTATATGATTTTGCACTCGCTTATGCAGCCCAAAAATGATTTGCACATGCTTCGATTCATTTATTAACTAAATTTGGAATTTTTTAACTAGTTGGTTTCAAAATCTTCCCATAAGAGTAGCTAGATAATGCGAATTGTTAAACTAACTGAATATTGACTTTATTTCCTCACAATAACGGATTATACTTTTTAACAGAATATTCACATCAATTTCTTACACTAAATCGAAGCATTGCAATTGGGCATACATTGGCGTATAGGAGTTGCTAAATTGAGTCCATCTCGGTTCCTTGATATATTTTATAGAGTTTCCCATAACACTTCTCGACGTTACAGATATTTTGCAACCTTGACCTGTTCTCTTCGATGAGCACTAAAAATTATCGAAACGTTATCGACAACAAGCTATCGCAAAAGCAACAACGGTATAAGTTACACGCAAATGCATGGTTGTTAAAGAATCAAAAAAAATCTAATTGGGGTTTGTAAAACACGAAATTAATTAGAAATTCTTCATAAATTTTGGTTTTATTCTTGAATTGGAAAACAATCACTACCAAATAGTGGTGATAGTAAAAGCAACGGATAATCATGCTGGTGCGAGACAAAATCAAAGGAGCCGGTCTCTTGACTGGCTAACATGAATTTGGTGGAATTGCCATCTTGAAAACAGGCAGTATTGATATAATGAGTGTGATTAAATTGTTCAGCATAAATTCGTTAAATTGAATCAAAATTCGGATGTAAAGTGTTCAATCTCAAATTTATTTCGTGTTTACACATTTTAAATCATTACATACATTATAAAAAATAAGTTGTACTTTGAAAAATCAAACTAAATTGTGTAAAAAATATTTGACCTCTTTACGCTATGAATAAATGGAGGAATAGCACTCATGAACGTATGTAATCGACATAATCTAACTGAATTGTAAATAATATAACGGGAAATCATAATGACATTTATGCGAAGTGAGAACGAAAAAATTTATCAAAAAGATGCATAGAATTTTAGAAATCGTGTTAAGACAAAACAATTCGAGTAAAGATAGAACTTGTTTCTTTTTAAGTCGGATTAAATCATATTTCATATTAAAAAAATTTTCGTAAAAAGATAATTATATATACATATATATAACAAAAAGTTTCCGCTGCTAGAGATTAACTATTTATTTGTACGTATGAATTTCTATACACATATATATAGGCTCACATTATGCGTTGTTTTATTTCGAGAACGTTCGATTTTTTCCTCGTATACCTTATGTTCGTCATATTGCTTTCATTTTGTTTGTAGAAGTCGCGGTGTTTATTCGTTCAAAGTTTATTTCTTTTATGATATGATACAGTCGAAATTTATTTTATTTATTTTCTTTAAATTGCTTTCAATTCAAATTTTTACATCCGATAAACATATATTTCAGAAATTCAACGAGGCCAAGAAATCGGAAATGCCAACAACGTTAGCTGATTTAACGGCAGCTTGTGGGGAAAAAATTTTAAATCCAGATTTTCTGCTGCAGGGAGGTGGACAACCATTTGCCGAACAGCAAAAATTAAATAATAAACATAATAGCAGCAATAACACTTCACCCGACCAAGAAAATGGGTCGGACAGTAAAGTTTCTACTAATGATGTTAAGGACAGCAATGTTAATCAATCAATAAATATGGCGAAAATAATAAATGTCGCCGCAACCTCTACTATTTCTTCACCACCTGCACCTCCAGCATCATTAGATGAAGAAGACCCCCTACAATTTATGCTTAAGCGTCCTGTGATTACATTATATAGTCAAAAAATGAAAGGCTTGAAGGATTTGTTATTGGCCGAGAAACTAAACACGCATGCGATTTCATTACAAGTTACCGCGCAGTCGGTGGCCAGTAAAAAAGTGCGAGGTGTTGATAAAATGGGCAATCACACAACAAATTCAGTTTATGCCAGCGTTAATCTGGGTGCTGGTGGCGGTGGTAGCGGAAATGCTAGTAGCAGTAGTAATAACAGTGCTACACAAGGCCCTGACCCAAAAACAACGGATCAACATGGTGAATCAATTGCCGTTTCAAGACCCAAACGTTCGAGACGTGAATGAGTGCAATGTAATAATTGCTTCTGCAACAGCGGGCTGTGCGGGCGGTAAGTATTAAAGGGTGTATAAATATGCTGAACAGCGAACAAAATTATAAAAAAAAAATAAACATTTGCCTCGGAAGTCCTTATCCAGATAGTTTTGTGTTATTAACGAGCAATAATAATGTTTTCAAATATTTACCTAAGCACACACAAAAGAAAGAAAAACATTCAAATCAAAATTTCCGCTAATCTTGCTATACAAAAAAAAAAAAAAAAAAAAAAACGAAAAACGCTAGGCGTTCTTTTATAAATAACAATATTAAAAATGAAAGCTAATTTTCGCCTATTTTCTGTACAAATTTTATTAAGATAGATTTTATGTATTTATATTCCCACCACGCGAAAGGAATCATTTAACAATTGGCTTATTGAAGTTGTAGCCAAGAAACCAAGAGGAAAAGATGTACTAATTACTGTCTCCATAGTAGGCAAGACATCCTAATTTGGCTTTGCGAAATCCGCTTGCAGAGAGCTGGCAAAATCAAATTAAACTAAATTTTTAAAATCGGATAAATTGAGATGGCTGAAACTTGACATACCTATTCTTGGATTAAGTCCATAAATCAATTTTGAATATTTGAAAGTTCCGAAAAAGTTTTGATATTTTAATATGTTTTGATCGATTACTTATTGTAGATCTAGTTTCATCTTAAAATTTAACTTATACGACCACAATTGAGTCGTCAAAACATTAATTACCAAAAATGTATTTCAAGTGGTGGGATTGTTAGAATACTTAAGGAATATGCAATTTCCTTTCTTATTATTTTCAAATCATTTTGAAGCTAATCGCGCGCATAAATTTTATATTTATTATATTTAAAGGAAAATCAAAAAACTTTTTGTTTTTATGGTGCTCACTTTTTAAACTTTTTTTATTTAACATATTTTACAATTCTTTTACACGTATACTAATTTATTATTCTTCTTTTTTTTTATTTATTGTTTAAGCCTATATTAGAGCTATTTTTCATTAATAATATTTTTATTAAATGACAATACATAACGGGATTTTAATTCTTAACGCGCTTCAATACGTGCCGGCACAGACAATTTTTGTTTTATGGATACTTGTTGCTTTTAAAACAAATGATATATGGAATATTTGCAATTTAGTTTATGCGGTGCGCCCTAATTATTGTTGAACTCTTCAAACGTTTCATTGGGCTACGTTTTTAGTTACAAATTTTACCATTTATTTGTCGAACTGTGTACGCTTGAACGACTTTTGAAAATTATCTAAATTAAAGTTTGCATTTGCTTACGGCAATTATAAGTTCACTAGTTATAACTATGCCGATATGAAGAAAATTGAAACTCGGATCGATAAATAGATTTCCTATACTCAACGCGCAAAATATGTGGAACTGCTGCCTGCTATCATATGGAAAATTCAATATTTTCGCCAAAATTGTGCAATAGATCTTATAGTCGGCAAAGGAAGTGAAATTTAATAAAGAAAGCCTTAAATCGCATTATTCTTCTTCGTACGTTTGGTTTGTCGGTATTTGCAAGTATTTTAATATATTCTTAGTAACTAAGTTTATTTGATACAGTTTGCTTTTTGCTGAAATTAAAGGAAGGACGAAATATTATTTTCACCAGCGAAATTGGATAACTATTTTGTACCTGTCAAATGGTTGAAGGATATATATATTCTTTTTTTAAATTATAGGAAAATTTTTTTAACCAAAAACAGACAAACTCACGGCCTAGAATTTTCAATTTTTTTTAAACTATCTACGCGTACAAAATGTGAAGATTAATTTTAATTTACTACTTACTGTCTAACCCTTCCGAGTGATCTAATTGTGGAAAATGTCTATGATACTGACCACTCGTTTGTAATGAAATATGAATTCCTAAGATAAGCAAAAACGTTTGTTTAAAACTACAAAATACATATATACAGAAATACACACTCTCATACACAGCGCAGATATTTTTTCACAAAAAAAAATTTAATTTGAATTCATAAACTTTAAGAAATTTTTTTTTTTCTTCATCAAATTCTTTGTCATAATATCGGTTGGAGAGTAGACCTAACTTTGCTTCGTCGTCGTTAAGTACCTAACCTGTATTATAGTAATTCATATCTACGTATTTTGTTAATTTTTAATGGATAGAGTTTATGACGAAATGCAAAATCCCTTGATTATTGATGTAATGTTTTGTTGATTGTTCGTATTATAACGCATTTCTTATAGCAATTTTCGCATGAATATGGTTTCCTTGGCAGCATTAGGGTTTGCCATTCATTCACTATGCTGAGAACTATTGTGTTTCGTTTTCTTACCTTTCATGACTCGAGACAGTAACCCATAAAAGAAGATATATGCAAAGTATAAAGTTCGATCAATCAAGTTTGGCGAACTGGGAATGTTGCATTAATCACATACTTACTTTTTAATATCGTTCTTGGCGTTTAAAAGCTGCAGATTGTGTGAACCTGGATTGTGACAATATCGGAGCATGTAGATCGTTGGATGAGCAGGTGGAGTATATTTCCCGGTCCGTTCGTGGTGTCAACGACTTGCCCCTTGAGAAATGTCGCAAGACAAATCGACGGGGGGTCAAGTGGTGGACGGCTGCTCTGTCCGCGAAACGTAGAGCCGTACGCCGCCTTTGGCGGAATTTTCAAAGTGCAAGGCGGTCCGATAGTGCGGATGCTGCCCAACTCAGAATCGATTTAAGGCAAGGCCTGTATGAATACAAGCGCATGCTTTTAAAAGCTAAGGAAGATGACTGGAAGGCTTTTGCCTCTCGAAACCGAAATGATCCTTGGGGTCAGCTCTAACGGATTTCCAGAGGCAGAAAATCGCTGGAAGTCTGTGGTATAAGCGCTAACGGGACAGTGCTTACCACCCGGAGGGAGTGTCTGAACGTTTTATTGAGCAGCTCGCCTCGCCCTCACCAAAGGGGAGATGCAACCATAACGTATCTCGTCTGGTACTCGGGTACTTAATACTCCTCATGGCAACGTGTGCGCCGCCTTCGGCACCGTATGTTGCGAGGATTATTAACCTCGGGGAGTTCGAGTGTTTCACACTCCGTATGCCATCGGGCACCGTGGGGTTAAACCTTCTCGGTAGTGTACCCACGTTAAACCCTCGGAGCCATCTGTGACAATATCGGAGTTGGAAGTAGCGTACCAGGGAGAATTGTAATTGATATTTCATATTTTGATCGCTGATCGCGTTTTGATTACTTATGGAGACAAATCACTTTAGTTTTCGACGTCGCTTTGGACAAAGGGCACAGATATCGAAGAAAAAATATACGCTCTTTAACTATTGACCTTCATTGAAACCGTTCCGTTGTTGAATGCTATCTGAAATAGACAACCTATAAATATTATAAAAATATAAAAAAACAACAGGAAAAGCAAAAAAAAGGGTGAAAATTTTTGAAGAAAAATTTGAGATCTATTTATTTATTAATACACTCTCGTAATACGTTCGCCCAGACCATCCAGGCCAATATATGAATATACTATGCAGTAAGACCAACCCTGAACATTACACCAAGATTCTCAAGTTTACGTAGCTCATATATATGTATATATGTACATGCATATATAAAATCAAATCACAAATCATACTATCAGAATTGGCTCCGTAGCCAAACAATAGAAAAGAAGCGAAATATACGGCAAACTACAAAACGCAGTCCCAACTGGTTTTATTTTTAATGCACACGTTCACATATGTTTATAAAGTAATCATACGAATGTGAAGTTCGCGAAATATTTCAAAAGTTTGGTACGAAAAACATTGTTAGAGTGGGAGAAAATACCAAGCTCATTGGCCAAACAATTCCAGAAACGTGCCAATCTCACTAGAAAAGGTCTCTCAAAAATCAATCTGCAAGTCGTAGGAATGTAAACTTGGAGATTTCGAGAAAATCGCAGAAAAATAAATTTAAAGGGAACATTATTATTATTATCACTTAAGCACTTTTGCAAACACCTCCAATTTCAACATATTCAAGATGGAAGCTACCATCAGAAATTGACGGTAGGAGCAAACATAATCCCTTTGATCTCGGAGGAATATATATTTAGCAAATTGTCGTCAGCAGTTCACCGCAACACACGACTCAAACGACTCACATTACGTTCGTAGGCCACGTGCGAAATACAAGCACAATTAAATGATAGAAAAACATCATAAGTAAACATTAGCCAATCACATGTCTCCGAATTTGCCTGTAAATACAAATCGTTCACGTACAAAACAAATGAAAGGGAGATCTCTGAGGAACACCACAGGTAGCAAACTTGATCTAATTCCCTTAAAATCCAGAAACTGTGATCTAATATCAAAATATGAAGAAATAAGACGAAGAATTTCATAAAATATTATGCCTGAAAATAGGCAGCACTACTTAGAATTCGTCCATCAATCCTAGACAAGAACGGAGTCGGATGGATATCTGAGGTCATACAATGCACATTGATTCTTTGCTCCATATGCCTCGCCAGCTCAATTCTACTGTGTTGACTGCTGCCACTTTGTGTTAATAGACTGACAATACTCCTTTTTCCTGCTTCATTATTATGATAAGCCCTGCCGTCGTCAGATACCACTTGTGCATCGACTATGATCGCACAATTAAACAATTCTTCTCTAAAACAATCCCGCTTACGTTATTCATATGGAATTTCGGAGCTTTTCTTTTTTTGGAATTATTTTCTTTCATTAGCTACTAAAAAGTGTTAGGTACGGAAAATAATTATAAAAAGAAGTTTGCTTAGTTGGATTCCGCTATCTCACAAGTTGTTGCTTTTTTATTTCAGACAACGTAAACACTGAACCGCCAGAAATCTTCTACAGTAATATACGCAGGCGCCACACTTTTTACTGCAAACTTTCTTATATGTCTGCACCTAAACGCCGACTAATGCAACGTTTGTACTTGAAAACACCCTGTCATCATTTGTTGGCTCTTAAATTTTATCACATTTCTGGTCCTTTGGGGAATTCCTCATACTTCCTCATAGTCGTATCTTCCAACATGCCCACTACATTTATTAGCTCATCTGCTTCATTCATTATAGGGTTTATTGTGAAAACGCGTATTACAAGTCTGCTCTCTCGTGCCGAACATGGTAAGGCTTCGGACTGTGATTTTGTGGCTCGCTTCTTTGGCATTTCTTTATTTTCCGGCATTAAGGACGCAAAACGT